ATGGGGTTTGCGTAACGTTTTTGCCCTCCTCTGAGAAGTCTTTTTAAATGACATGCTAAACAGAGAACAATGTGACTTGTGTTTTAAAAAAAAAAAAAGCATTTCAAAGGAAATTGGTTACAAATAATACCAGCTCCTTTCTAGAATAGATTAAACTTGAAAAAAAAGGAAAGTGAGAATAATTATCTATAATTCTGTTGCTTGTTAGTATTGCCTCACATTCACCCATTAATTCACTCATTCATACACCGACGGCTGTGTCAGCCATGCAAGGCGCCATTCCAGCTCGTCGGGAGCAGCTGGTGTTAAATGTCATGGACACCGCGACACTTGGTCAGGTGGAACCGGGGATTGAAACACCAACCTTCCGGTTTTTCGACAACCTACCTGAACCACTGAGCCACTGACGTGTAGTCATGAGCATGTTGTTTTTGAATCTATGTGAAAACCAATGTTCCCACCCTTTAACTGAATTATCCCGAGGGCTAATTTCATGTGCTGAAGCACGAGTGACACTTAATATGGCCTGATTGCCTGCAGATACAGAGCTAAACTATGAGTAAGCCAGATAAAGCCTACACAGCATTTTTTACGAGTCACTAAATTGAACACCATGTTAGACCAAAGGTGAGGTATTAATGTACATGCTGAAGGACAAATGTGTTATGAGCCAAGTGAAAAGAGGAATGCAACGCACACCTCAAGGGATCATCTCACAAATCCGGTCCAGAAAATGTGCTTAATATTGATATAAATTAAGGCTGGGTATTGACACAAATTTCACAATTCGATTCGATTTTGATTCACAAGCTTGCAATTCGATTAGATTCCAATTCGGTTTGATGCAACATTTTTTATTTTGGATATCAGGTACAATGCATAGCAATATTTCTCAAGGAAAACAAATCTCTTAACTAATGCTGTAAACTATATCGGATACAGTTGTAGCCTTCTAGGCTTTATTAGCCTATAATAATATTGGTAATTATATACTGATTTGTATACAAACATTTAAATTACACTCATTTATTTTTATAATAATAAAATTATATGAAATATAAACATTTAAATGGTGGCCGTCATAAAAACTTGCGAGATTTATTCAGACATGCATCAAACATTGAAGAACATTACAAATTATAATGAATATGTAATATGGTGCATATATTTAGCAAAATGCTCCTCTCTAGAGTTAATTTTTCTAGCTGACTAACGAGTTTATGGTCACTGGATATGTTTTTTTCTGAGGTAAATGTGACGTTACATGACATTGTTTACAAATTTTACTGACTTATTTCCACAGTTGAAACACTGATTTAGCGATTAAAATACATTTAGGGGTGTGGTCCTGGTCAAGACAATCTCCTGAACTCCAAACTTAATGTCAGAATGGGAAAGAAAGGTGATTTAAGCAATTTTGAGCATGGCATGGTTGTTGGTAAGTATTTCACAATCTGCTCAGTTACTGGGATTTTCACGCACAACCATTTCTAGGATTTACAAAGAATGGTGTGAAAAGGGAAAAACACATCCAGTATGCGGCAGTCCTGTGGGTGAAAATGTCGTTGATGCTAGAGGTCAGAGGAGAATGGGCCGACTGATTCAAGCAGATAGAAGAGCAACTTTTGACTGAAATAACCACTCGTTACAACCGAGGTATGCAGCAAAGCTTTTGTGAAGCCACAACACGCACAACCTTGAGGAGGATGGGCTACAACAGCAGAAGACCCCACTAAACGCTGACATTTTTCCGAGAATCCCGCGGGATGGGAAACAAAATCACTATGCATCAAGGAATTGGGAAGGGAAAGGAAAAAATGTCAGCGGGAGTAGGCGGGACCGGGAATCGTAATAAAACTATGATACCCAACTTTATATATAAATATACAGTTTCTATAAATACATTTTGAACTAAATTCTATTTGCCCCGTTCTATGCTCTCCTGTTTGCTTTGATTACGCAGGTAAAGTAAATGACATGCTCCACACACCCGTTCCAGTTGGTGGCTGTAATATACATAGCTGCCAACTCCCATGCATATTGGCCGTGAGACACCCGCATTTGATTGGTTTCACACGCTCACACGCCACACCTCCGATTTCTCATGCTGAAGTGTCAACCTGGTCCGTCAAATGCCTGGAAGATGAGTTTTTTTATACATCTACCTATTTATCTACCTGTTGAGCCACTTGTGATCAAGTAGTTATGCCGCAAATTAGTTAAATTCTCTCGGAATCTAGAGCGAGCAGAGCGAGCGAGACAGAGATTGTGCTTCAAACCGCCTAGCGCATGCAAGCGCACACATGGCAGAGAGGGAAAGCGAGCGAGAGACCTTGCGAGTGCACGTGTCATCCAAACGTCCCAGTTTTACTTTTTTTACTGTAACTGACAGATTCCTGTCAAAAAAAAAAAAAAAACAGTGGTAGGAAATAGGAGTTATTCTTCTGGGGAATGGGACGGGATTGGATGTTTTTTCGTGGGATTGGGACAGGACCGGATTTTTTTGTGGGAGTGGGACGGGAGAGGTTTGAAAATCCCTCCCGTGTCACCCTCTAGATCCCACCGGGTACCAATCATCTCCACTACAAATAGGAAAGAGGCTACAATTTGCAAGAGCTCACCAAAATTGAACAGTTGAAGACTGGAAAAATGTTGCCTGGTCTGATGAGTCTCGATTTCTGTTGAGACATTCAGATGGTAGAGTCAGAATTTGGAGTAAACAGAATGAAAACATGGATCCATCATGCCTTGTTACCACTGTGCAGGCTGGTAGTGGTGGTGTAATGGTGAGGGGGATGTTTTCTTGGCACACTTTAGGCCCCTTAGTGCCAATTGGGCGTCACTTAAATGCCACAGCCTGAGCATTGTTTCTGACCATGTCCATCCCTTTATGGCCAACATGTCCTCTGATGGCTACTTCCAGCAGGATAATGCACCATGTCACAAAGCTCGAATCATTTCAAATTGGTTTCTTGAACATGACAATGAGTTCACTGTACTAAAATGGTCACCCACAGTCACCAGGTCTCAACTCAATAGAGCATCTTTGGGATGTGGTGGAACGGGAGCTTTGTGCTCTGGATGTGCATCCCAGAAATCTCCATCAACTGCAAGATGCTATCCTAAAAATATATGACTTAACTATAAGGATGCAGAAAAAACAGTATGTGACAAACCACAGTGGGTAGAGACTGAGAACTGACCGAGCAAAAAAAATGACTGTCATCAACACTGGATCACAGCTCAGAGAGAAAGCCAATAATCAATACCTGATTCATTTAACCACCCCTGGTCAGATACAAGAGTTATTCATCTGTATGTGAACCGAGTGCACTGACAGTGTTTCCAGGAACTCTATACCGCGACTCAGACAGCAGAAATGACTAATGAGTAACATATTCAAGGTCTGTGGAGACCTGGTTAACAGGAAGGGGTTGTTATCTACAGTGGTAGAAGAACTAGAGAGCAATCTCCCCTTTGACCGGATTCTGCTTCTGTTGGTGTGTGTTTTTATACATGTTGAAACTCGAATGGGCTGTTTCTGGTGAATGTGGGACAGGCACTGCCTAAAGGTCTGCTGGAACATGATCTGGTTGGAACAGTTCCGAAGGGTTACATCATATCACCACCTGCCAAAATCACTTACTATAGCCAGAGTGCCAGTACACACAGACTCATTCATTGTTCTGATTTGAGTGCATTAGCATTAGTGGTTGCGATTTAAAAACTAACAAAAGCTTCTTATCGTAACAGTGACCGACAAAGGCAACTTGGGATAAAATTATCACCTTTGGCCCATTATAAAAAGCAGATTGTTGCATTTAACAATTAAATCCAAGGCACCATCTAAGTTTATGATCTGCTGACACTCTTGCGCATAAGACAATAGTTGGGGGAAATAAATATTAGTGGGAAATTTGGCTTTCTGGATCTGTGGTGTATCAGTCAATTAATCATGATAGAAGCCAACTGGAATCGGTTATAATTTTTAAATAGTTTTTTAACAACGTTTTTATGACTTCAACACAGAACTCGTACAAATCGATAAAGAATAGTAGTATGTGAAAATGATAAAAAAAAACAGCTTTGCATTCAAAGAGTGCTGATAATTAGTTCGATAGCATTTGAGTGCTTAACTTTTAAATTGTTCTGCTACAAGCAATAATAGATCCTGCTTTGGACTGTTTTAGAACCCTTTTTGATGATGAAAGGGGGAAATACAACTTCTAATCCTTTTCTAAGCAGCTTCCTCACTTTGTCAGGAAATTACGAAGAGAATAAAGAATATTCAATTGTTGAATACATGCTTGATTGGTGAAATTAATAGGCTACTTTTATTCAGCAAGGAACTATTAAATTGTATACAAGTGAAAATAAGGAATTTACATTGTTACAAAAGATTTCCATTTAAAAAAGTAGGTGTTTTTTAAGGGTGCCACTCGCAATTCACGAATCATACATTTTTGAGACTTTTCAGAGTAAGATTCAATTTGATACTGCATTTTTAAAATGCATTTATAAGATTATCCAAATGGATTTTTAATCGCTGCATTGAGAAATGAATCATTACACCCCTATGTTCTTTTAAATGTTCTATTTAATCAAAGATTGCTAAAACAAAATTTGGACAGTAGTGTATATAGTGTTTGTTAAATGTGAAGTCTAGTTTGACTGTCCATCCATTTGCCAGAATAACGCTTTGATTTGAATTCTACATTCACACAGAGTCAGGATTCTCACTAAACTGCAAGTACTACGAATCTAACCAAGGTGATCATTGTTGAGGAAGCCGTCATGAAATGTCAACAGGCTTACAAGGTGCAAACAAAACATAGTAGTAGAGAACAGTCTGTTCTGAATTCTCCTGCTCAAAAACAGTTTCTGAAACACCTGTAACTTTTTCCATGTACTTTTAAACAGAGTGCAGCTCAAAAAGTTTTTCCATTTTCCTTAAGGAGGAAAAAAAAGCCATCTTAGCACCAATATGCATTTATACTCACCACACTATCAGCTCTATTTCCACAAGGCAAACGCTTTTTAAGGATCCAACCCAAGTGTTTCAGCACCTGCAATAACATTACAGAAAAGGTTGAATGAAGCAGAATTTTTCAAGCATCTGGACTTCACCTGCAATGTATGCTTCAATTAAACCAATCTGTCTGAGGTCAATGAAAGCATGTTTGTGGACTTAGACACATTACTCTCCAGAGTAATGCAACAGCCTGAATGAGTGTCTCTATGGACTTGCTTAAAATGTCCAATAGATATCAAAGTCTCCCAGTAATCTTCTTTGTGATGGCACTTACATTTTTCAAGACAAACATACCAGAAGGAATGTCTTTCTTCGAAATGAACCGTCCACACTCTGCGTTTTATATTTGGACAACAGGCTAAAAGCCGACTGACTTTAAAACAGGTTTATTTCACAAATGTATGAGTAACTGTCAGCATTACTATTAGGGTTGGGTATCGAGAATCGAGTATCGATTGGAACCGGGACTAACTTTTCGTTTTTCCCGGAATCGTTCAAAAGTTAAAATTTCGATTCCTAGTTTCGATATTCATAGTCCGCCGAGCGGAAGAAGAAACCGCTGAACAACACCAACGAAAGAAGCGTCTACCGGAAGTGTTGGCATAATCGCGCGAGTCGAATATGAATAGCTTCGTCGGCGGTCCAAAGTGTGGCTTCACTTTTCCAAAAAAAAACGAAATCTCGGCAAAATGCAAAATTTGTGACAGAAGGAGTATTTCCTTCAGAAAGTATTATTTCCTTCAGAAAAACCTTTGGTTAGCAAGGTTAGCTAAACTTTTTTGACCCTCCCTCTTAAAAGAATCGGAATCGAGAATCGTTAGGAACCGGAATCGAAACAAGGAATCGGAATCAGAATCGTTCAAATTCAAACAATGGGCTATATGCACGCATAAGTTCCGCATTTGACGCAAGGATGCTCGTCTATTTCCGGTTGTGGAGATTTAAGCGGAGGAGAACCGAGGAAAACGGGATTATGGCAGAGTCTTCAAAATTTACTGTCCTCCCGTCTTTGAAACGAAACGTACACGTTTAGATGTAATTTTATATATAGTTATGTTTATTTAATATAACTTTAAAAAGAAGCATAAACACAACGAGGGGTGTCTGTTTTATCTGTTTTTGTGACTAACGTTTCTTTATTATAACCATGGGGTATAAAATTCAATATAAATTCTCGGTATTGCATTGGACTCTGCGATCGGCGGAAGTTATCGAGCATCCTTAATCCTTCACCGGAAATACCGCCGTGCATAGAGCCCATACCCAACCCTAATTACTATGTAGATAATATAACCAGTGTTTTTCCAGCAATGAAATAATGCTTGCAGCCACCAAAATGAATGTGTGTGCCTTTAATTTAGCCAACTGTGTGTGTGAACACAATGGCCAATCTGATATAAATTAGTCAGAATCTGCTCAAAACGGCAGAATTTAGAGTTCAGAGTTCTTTGTGCTCGCAAATCCTTTCATTATATTCAACAAAGTACAAAAACAATGTCAATAAGAGATTTATTGCACAGTAAAGCAGCTTCATTGATTATAACAGACATTCATGCAAGAGTGCAGCGTTTGTGTACCGCACATTGTAATTGACTGCTGCAGTGATTATAAAGGGCAGCAATCTTTGCTCGCTTTCTGTATGTAATATATATTTTTCATGCAGCTAACTGCACACTGCAAAGTTTCTCAACTGACAACTATATTTAAATGTGCAATTGAATCCAATTGACGGTGATAACAAAAGCAATAGACGGAACAAAACAATTTCATACTGTATGTAAATTAATAGTACAAGTTCATATTAAAATATTTTTTTGCATTTATTTTGGATTTATTGTCAGTACTGGGCTCGCAGTTCACATGAGTAGGGCAGTGTGTGTGTGTGTGAGAATGACTGTGTTCATCCGCCACCACTAAAGAACATTTTTGACATTTTAAACTTTAAGGTAAGGGGCCACCTAAGCGCGTTCCACCACTGTTGGGTTGACATAATACAAAAAAAAACAGAATTGTTTTGCCCTACATAGCTTTTGACTTTTAACCTACATTCATCATTGTTTAGATTGACACACACACACACACACACACACTAATTTGCAATGCATCAAAAGAATAAAAAAAGATCACATTCCCAATTATTAAAGGACTAAGATAACCTTAAGGTAAACTGAATTTTTTTTAGTGCCCTGTCAAATGGTTTTGGCAAGAGAATAAACAAATTAAAAGCATAAAAAAGGTGTATTTCATCATCAAGAAAACTCGCCGCCACCTCACCGAAACAAGGTGTCTGTATGGTCGAAAACTTGAAAACTTACTCTGCCACATACCCACAGCTAAATCAGGCTTAAAAGTAAAAAAAAAAAAAAAAAAAATCCAGGGCAGTTTTCCCAGGTGCAGATTATGCCTGTGTCTGGAATTAATTTCTGCATTCATGAATCACCATCTTGGGCTCACCCTGAGTGTGCTGTAACTTTTAAAGGGAGCATGTGTTAGTTTCCAAAGCCAAGCAATGAAACGCATGTATTGACATGGCATTGCTGTTAAGTTACAGCTATTGGCGGGTTTCAGAGGTCTCTTGTCTACGAAGTTTAATTTTGAACAGAAATGGGTGGATACTACTTCCTTCGGGCAGCCTGCTCCCAGTCCATGTCCCGTGGGTTTCTGAGACTTCTTTGTGCTGTTGCACCTGCTGCTTCTATCTGTTTTCCAGAGCAGCGTACATTCCAATTAGCTCAGATTATTGGCATGCGCTTGCTAAGCAAAGTAGCAGGTGTCGCTACAGTGTTAGGCAAAGAATGTCCGATTGGAGAGAAAAGGGATGGCCAAAATGTTAAAAACCAACTCTGGGATTAATTCAGGTTGCAATCGGTTCATTTACATTGACAATTCATATAAAATGTGAAAGTATTTGTGGAAAATCCAATTCATTGGAAACATTTAAAGTCCCTGTAAAGTCAAAATTAAGTATGTGTTCTGAGTCTGTCATACCACAGAAAAATTTAATATTAGCCACCCAGCCAAATTTGAATGATAAAAAAAGCCGGCAAGTACATAAAATAAGTCATCAAAATCTTGAAAAAAATCAGCAGTTATCTATGTTCTCAAACGCTGGGGGCGTGTCTCCTGGCTGCGCTGAAACCACACCCACTCGCGGGAAAGCTGTCGACGGTGATATTAGGTGAAACTGCTCTCGGAACGGGAGGATGAACGCTGAGGTGGGAGATAGTCGTTTCGGCCCCGTTCACCAGCAGCATCAGATTATCAGTGAATGCCAGTTGTCTGAGGAAAGTTTATAAAACGATCCTGTGTAAAATGATCACTACAGAGGCGGGTGTTGCTGTCGGTGATCCTCAGCTCTTCAAGGTTGGCTCTACACAAAATTAATCCACCTCTTCTTGATGTGATCGCTTTTAGGAAATTTAAATAAAGACACCGATCTGTTTTGTACATATTCGCATCCAGGTAGTAGCCTATGCATTTCCTTGTCAAAGGCATAGCAAGCTAGCAAACTGTAGACTGCAGTAACTAATAGTACTGACAGTAAACTCGCGATTGAGTGGCAAATGCAAATGTGCTCTATTGTTAGGGGAGAGATCAGCCCCTGTCTATGGATCAGCCAACGTGCGTCATCAAGTTGGGGCGTGTCCACGAGCTCTTTGGCTCCAGTGCGTCATCGAGCCCTGTTTTAGCCCCGCCCAAAAAATCCGTAAAATAGCAAGGGTGAAAAACTGTTGAACGGTCTAACTCTGTATTTCAGAACTTCACAGTTCACAGTCTTTGTAGTATGTTTTAGCAATACATTTGTAACATTTATAATGTGTTTAGAATTTTTTTTGTTGAATTACCTTTACAGGGACTTTAAATAACTAATTCTGAGCAATCGATACATGAACTACCACATAATACTTACAGTTTACAATTTATTTATTTATTTATCATTATTTATACAATTACAATTTATACAGCCTGCTGCATTAGGCTCAAAACATGCACTACTCAAAGCAGCAAGCTCAATTTACCACGTTGTTTTTAAATGTGTCAGACTGCCATAACAGAACTCTTTTTTTTTGTTTACCATTCACGACTCTCGCGGTGCTCTCCGCCATTTTGAAATGGTCAAAGGTTCTCATCTCGGAAACTCGTCCATCAAAATATTCTACGAGTTGCCCAGTGGTAAATACCACATGAGGGGGTGTTCATGTGCATTTTCCACGTCGGCTTTTGGTATTTACCATAATTACCATAGCACATGAACGCAGCATTAGTGTAAGTAGGGTAAAGTAGTATTGCATTGCCCAAGCCTCAATATACTGCATTAAGTCCAATGCAGAGATGAAGTGCAACAGAATGAAACAAGGTGGGAATTCAAATAACTGCTTTTAATTTGACAGCATCTTAAATAGGGCTGCACGATTAATCGCAATTAACCCTAAATCGTGCCCAAACCATCTTAGTGCAATTATGAAATCGCACTGGCTGCGATTATTTTTTTTCAGTGAAGCACGGCTCTGTGATCAGTAGTAAATGCTACTCCATCTGAAAGCCATCACTGTGAGTTTGAGTCACTTTTAAGTTAAAACCAACAGGCATAAAAAAACATCTTTCCAGATAGGAAAAGCATTTCTGAACCTCGTGTCCAAAAAAATGATAGCGATAGAATGGTCCCCTTAGGAATGTAAACAGTTAATTGATTATCGATTAATTGTCGACAAGAATTAAATTAAATTATTTGTCGGTTAATTGAACATTGTGAACGTGACACGAGATTCTCACTCAAGAGACCCGACACAAACTTGGTGGCAAAAAAGAAACCAAACATGAGGGTGTCAAAACGGAGCGGACTACCAGCGTGCTAACCTCGAAAATCCAGCGGTATTCTAACAATAACTTAGTTCTCCTTATAAGCTAGGCTCCTTGCATGCTGGCTAATAACTTTTTTTATAGTGCTAGTGAGAGCTAAGGCGGTCTACAATCAAACTCGATTTTAAATAGGCTTAGTAAAAAATATATCGAAAATCAATGTGGCGGTCAGCG